AATCCATAAGTCCCTGTTTTCAGACTGCGTACAAACAAGGACTAATAAATAAGATGTTCTTTATTAAAGAGTCAGAGATACTTACTCAATACCAAGATCAACTTCTGGGATACCAGACAACATCTGATGTGACATCATTTCTTCTGTTTTTTGTGAAGATGACTCAACTTGTAATCTAGCTGGAAGTTCATATAATAGATCCTCAGCAGATTTGAGCCTGAAAATGTGACAAGCAGACCACTTATAACTGGATTTATACGCTTATCGATACTGATCTTTTAAATATGGTTGTTGTTATAATATTGAAAAACTTCTAGGGGTCCACTTTTAAAAAGTTCAGACTGAACAATAACCAATTAAAATTACCTGTCTAAAAACTTTATCACAATGAAAAAAACACAGTTGTTAGTCTGTAGCCATAGACTTAGTGTCTATTTTTTGTTGATTATTTATGGATAATTTACAGATAATTTCCAATAAAAATTGTACAGGTTTGTAGAAATTTTACCTGTCAAATGGAAGTTCCTATCTGTCTAAAATGTGGTGTGCCTGTCTAAAATGACAGGTAGCAAGTGGCTGGATGAAAGCCTGGACCAATGACAAAATAAAACAAATTTTGTAAAACTGAACCATGGGGGGGAAAAAAATTATTTTAAATTTCAAAAACAACACATTCAAAAAGGTATGTTACAAGAGATATTACAAGAAATTACACCACACTCTTCTAGAATAGTGTTCAGTGTCACCTCTGCACTCACCTTCTTTCTTCCTCTTTTGTCATTGCTTTACCTTTCCTTTTGGCCATCTGTTCTTCAATGTACTTCATCCTAGAAAACAAAACAACAAAATGTTTGCCACCTGAAATATCAAGATTTGATTAATGGCAAAAATCACTATGATTCCCTGACGTAAAGACTCCAAGTGGAATTGTCACTGTGATTCCCTGTCTTAAGGACCCCAAGTGGAATTGTCACTGTGATTCCTGTCTTAAGGACCCCAAGTGGATTTGTCACTGTGATTCCTGTCTTAAGGACCCCAAGTGGATATGTCACATATGAACATAAGATATGAACAGAATACTTACATATCGGCATCTTCATCTCGTCTGTTTGTTTCGGCTGCAAATGTACTTCCCATATCAACAACATCACGATCTGTATCCTCTTCAGATCTAAAACAAACCATACAGTCAAGCTCAATATATAAATAATGGGTGTCTGATTTCACAGAGATTAAAGTCTACAAGATTATATATTGTATATAGTATAGTTTAGAGAAGTATTAAAGTCAGCGATAATTTCATTTTTTTTTTACCCCAGTGTTATTTTTTTGCCACAGCAGTTACAAGAAATAAAAGGCATACATAGGTGAATGATATAATTTTTTTTTCTGCAATCTTGCCATGTTGGCCACATTGTACTAACTTAGTGAATCTTTATCAGCAATGAGACTCATGTTCCTATTCACAATATTTCACTAACTAGTAACAGAATGGGCAAATCTACTTCTTAAATATGGATATTTTATTTTAGCAATGTCAACATTTAAAATTGTTCGTAAATACAACATACATAATGTATGATTACTG